AAAAATGCTTGATATAATTTCTTCCTCTTAAATTTGTTGAAGTTTGTTTTGTGACCTAGTATATGATCTATCCTGGAGAATGTCCTATGTGCACTTGAAAAGAATGCATATTCTGCTGCTTTTGGATTTAATGTTCTATAGATATCTATTAAATGAAAAGATGATTGCCCTTTGGAAGGAAAACTATGACAAACCTAGATGGCATATTAAAAAGGAGAGACATCACTTTGCCAACAAAGGTCCATATAGTCAAAGCTATGGTTTTTCCAGTTGTTCTGTATGTGAGATTGGACCATAAAGTAGGCTAAGCACTGAAGAATTGATGGTTTCAAATTGTGGTGCTAGAGAAAACTCTTGAGAGTCCCTTGCAGAGCAAGGGGATCAAACCAGTCTATCCTAAAGAAAATCAACCCTGAATATTCATTGGCAGGCCTGTTGCTGAAGTTGAAGATCCAATACTTTGGCCACCTTATGTGAATAGCTGACTCACTGGAAAAGACCCTGATGCTGGAAAAGACTGAAGGCAAAAGGAGAAAAGGGCAGCAGAGGATGAGATGGTTAGACAGCATCACCAATTCAATAGACATGAATCTGAGCAAACTCTGGGAGGCAGTGGAGGAGAGAGAAGCCTGGCATGTTACAGTCCACGGGACTGCAAAAAGGCGGACACGACTCAGCAACTGAACAAGATGTCTATTATGTTCATTTGGTCTGCTGTGTTAAGACCTCTGTTACCTTACTGATTTTGTCTGGATGACCTGTCCATTGATGTCAGTGGGTATTAAGGTCCCCTATTATTATTGTATCACTATTTTTTATTTCAGCCATTCTGATAGGTGTGTGTCAATATAGGTTTTTTTTTTTGGACACATTATCTTATTACTATCTTATTATCTCATCTTCAATTAACAGCCTGCTCACACGTAATCCAAGAACACTCAAATAATAAAGCAAATATAATCATATATTAAAGATTGGTCTTCAAACATCATAGCCAACGATGTCACAGTTGCCTACAATCTCACCAACATAAAACCACATCCACATCTCAGTGGTCACCACACCATTCAGTAGAGTTTCCTTAACTGGGAGCTGTTTGAAGCTACTTGTTTGAGCACTATTGATATTTTTTCCCCAGCTCTGAATAGCTATAAGGATCTCAGCAGAGTTGGCAGAACCAGATCAACCTTGGCATAGTGCCAAAATGTGGCCAATCGAGGCTTTGAGTAAGCCAAAGCAGTGCTGGGACCTTCTCTGTGAGGTTATGGACAAACTGGGTCATGGTTCTCGGATGGAAAGCTCATGACCCCGACTGGCCAGCTGAATCTCAATCTAGCTTTAATTTACCAGAGAAGGCAATGGCACCCCACTCCAGTACTCTTGCCTGGAAAATCCCATGGATGGAGGAACCTGGTAGACTGTGGTCCATGGGGTCGCTAAGAGTCGGACACAACTAAGCGACTTCACTTTCACACACTGGAGAAGGAAATGGCAACCCACTCCAGTGTTCTTGCCTGGAGAATCCCAGGGACGGGGGAGCCTGGTGGGCTGCCACCTATGGGATCACACAGAGTCGGACACGACTGAAGTGACTTAGCAGCAGCAGCAGCAGCTAATGAAGCTGAACATATTTTTATGTGTTTTTATATTTAAAGTAATTACTGTTATGTTAGGGCTTATGCCTGTACTTTCTGAAGTTCCAAACCACTTTAGATTATTTCTGTTCTGTTGAGACAACTTCCTTTAGTCCCTCTTTAGGAGTAAGTCAGCTAATGACAAATTCTCCAGTTTTCTTTCATCTGAGAGTATCTTCTTCATTTCCATTTCTGGAGGATATAGAATTTTGATTGACAGGTTTTTTTCCTTCACCACTAAAAATGTGCCATTTCTTTCTTTCATGCTTTCTCCATTACTGTGAATGAAAAACCACTGTCATTAAAACTGGTATTCCCCTATGGGTGATGTATCATTTCTCTCTGGCTATTTATAAGATTTTTTTCTTTGTCTTTAGTTTTCATAAGTTTCATTATTGGTGTGGGATTCTTTGAATTCATCCTATCTGGGATTTCCTAAGCATCCTGAACCTGCAGATTTATGTCCTTAGCCAAATTTGAGAAGTTTCAGCCATTATGCCTTCAAATATACCTTCAGTCTTACTCTTTGTTTTGAGGATCTGATGATACAAATACTAGATCTTTTCTTATTCTCCCTACAGGTCCCTAAGACTCTGCTAGATTTTTTTTTTCCCCCCACAGCACTTAGTCTCAACTAGTTATTTTGTTTTCTTTTGTTCAAGTTTATTTACTCTGTTGTCCAGATTGGGTAATTTCTACTGTTCTGGCTTCAAGTTCTTTGATTCTGTTCTCTGTCATATTCATTCTGCCATTGAGCTCATACACTGAGTTTTTATTTTGGTCATTCCATTTGGTTCTTTTTTCCCCTCTTTTTTATTTTTTAAATTATGAAAGTATAATAATACATTTACAGGAAACTTGGAAAATACAGAACAAAGTTATACATAAGTCCACTATATATTATGATTATTTTTAAGCAAATAAATTAAGATTTTTAGTTGGAGTTTCAATATCAAACTCTCAAAAATTAATAGAATGAATATACAGAAAAGTAGGGGCTTCCCTTGTGGCTCGGTGGTAAAAGAATCTGCCTGACAGAGCAAAAGACACAGGTTTCCTTCCCTGATCCGGGAAGATTCCACATGCCGTGGAACAACTAAGCCCGTGTGCCACAACTACTGAATCTGCACTCTCGAGCCCATGAGCAGCAACTACTGAGTTCATGTGCTGCAACTAATGAAGCCTCTAAGTCCCAGAGCCCATGCTCCACAACAAGAGAAGTTTCTACAACGAAAAGCCTGCAAACCACAACTAGAGACTAGCCCCTATTCTCTGCAACTAGAGAAAAAGCCTGCAATAAACAAACAAATAAAATTATTTTTTAAAATATACAGAAAAGTAGGATACAGTAGACTTGAAAAGCACCATGAACATTTGGTTCTTTTTTGTATGTTCTCTTTCTTAGGTGAATTTTCTATTTTTTTTTTTCCAAAAAGATTTGCAATTGCAAATTAAAGCATTTTTACAACAGGTGCTTTAAAATCATTGTCAGATAATTCCATTATCTGATTCAAGGTAATGTTGATGTCTGTTGATTGTTTTTTCTCATTCAAGTTGTCATTTCCCTGGTTCTTTGTATAATGATTGATTTTTTTTTCATTGTAACCTGCACATATGAACACATATTAGGAGACTCTGAATCCTACTTAAATGTCTAATTTTAGCAGGCAGTTATTCTGTTTAGGTTTATCACATACCTCCTGGCCCACTTTTGTAGGCTGCGGTTCCAATAATAACTTAGTTTTCAGGGCCCTTGTGGTACTATTCTGGTTTGGTACACTCACCTGTTGCTGATGGAGCTCCTGCTTATTGCTGGAGTTCCTGTTTGATTTCTGTAGGTGCTGCCCATGCAAGCGGAATACACTTCCCCAGGCCCAGCGCTGCCAAGTGGGAGGGTGGGAAAATCATACGCAGCAGGTCAGACAGCACTACCCTGGGCCCTAAGGGCTGCAGGGTGTGGCAAGGTCCTCTGCTCAGTCACTGCTGGTGCTCCCTGCAGGGATGGAAGGCTCTTATCCAGGCCACACAGTGCCACTAGACGAGAAGTCGGAGATACCAGACCGTGGCGTAGAGAGTGCTCCTCCGGGCCCACAGTCCAGGATGCCTGGTTTTGCTGTCATCTTATAAATTCAATTCAAAATCTTGAAATTTAGGCCCAGAACCAGCAGAGACAATCGTACCTCAGTCACCAAAGTCACCAACTGTGCTTTGGGTCAAGATTCAAGTTTTAATTATATATTTTCTAGACTTTATTAAAAAATTTATAACAACTAATCATAAACACAAATATACACCATTATGAAAAATATTTAAAGGTTGCTTTATTAAAAAATACTAAAATATAAAAAACTAATACCCTTTTGCCTACTTAAAAATATTCTTTCTTTCTAAATATTCTAGTGTGGGGGGATCACTTAGGGGGAGGGGAACTATCTTTTATACAAAATGGAATCTCTGAGCATTGATGTAAAGGAAAATGATACAAAAAATTTGTTCTGTATAGGTACAAATAGGATGGAAGAACGTGACACTGACTCATCTACACCAGGAGATGGCAAGCTTTTGATGTGACGGGTCTAACAATAGATATTTTAGGCTTTGCAGGCCATACTGTCTACGCACAACTACTCAACTCTGCAGGTGTATAAAAGCAACCACAGAGAATATATAAACAAAGGAATGTAGCTGTGTTCCAATAAAACTTTATTTATGAGAACAGTCAATGGGCCAGACTTGGTCCATATGTTGTAGTTTGCTCACCTGAATTACCTCATGAAACCATAAAATTCAAAGCCAGAAAGGAACTGTGAGATCACTGAGTTAACATTTTTATTGGGCAAATGAGGATACCACAGCCCCAGTAGATGAAATAATTTCAGTTATTTCACCTGGCCAATGAATGGCAGCATCCAAACAAAAACTTTAAGGATGTGGTATTACTTCCAGTTCAGTATTCTGATGCATGGGTGTGTAATGCTACTGCATTATGGATATGATTATTGGAACACAATAGAGCACACAAATCAATGAGATTTTATTTAAAACTTACAAAACTAATTGGGAGAGAGATCTTCAGCCAAACTAAGTTATGCTGAAGTAGCATCTCAGAACAATTTGTGAGATCTAAAATGAACACTACAAGCAGAGACTACCAACAATGCACAGCAAATACAAAATGGAGACATTCAGAAAATGATGTTTAGGCAGCCAGGAAAAGTGGAGAAACTAGTAACGATACATTTCTCTACTCATATGTGTACATTGCACAAAACAAAGTATTTCCTTCTTCACCTGAACACACATGTTTAAGACTTATTATCCTAGGTTCCCCACACTTCTCCTTTTAGCCAGACAAAGCTGAAATACCTGCTGTTGGTAGACATGGTCACATGACTCTGCACTGGAACATCTTTGAATACTTCATTTCCAATAGCTGTTTGTAATGTGTAAGGCAGCATTTCAGCATCAGATTTAACTCCAAGAGAGTTTCCTTTGTTTCTTAATAGTGTTGAATTAGGTTTTTTGCTGACAGAAAAATCTGAAGAAAATCCTGGTTGTCTGAGGGTTGCTTTTGGTTTTCCTATGAAGTCAGGCATACATAATGGAATCGATTAGCTTTCCAAAACCCTGGTTTCATTATGTCACTCCCTTGCCCAGATGTTTTCTGTTGGTCTCTATGCTCAGAACAGTTTGTAAGAATATGAGGGGGTGGCCATCAAAGGGTCGGTCAGCAGGGGAAGAGCAGATTGGTGTGTATTTAACAGATGAGCTTCTTCAAAATGTGGCTTCATCTGCTAGGCAAGCCTGTTACTTTTCCTCCACTCACCAACTAACCTGGTAGCAGTCATCTCACATTCTTACAAATGCAGCATACGCAGCAGTATCTCAGTCCTCCCATTGCTTCCCCACCAATCTGAATTCTTCCAATTGTTAGGGGTCTGGTTGCAAGTCTCCATAACTTAGTTTTAAGTCTCCCCAACACTAGTTTCAAGTCTCCCCCTTGCCATGACGCTCTCCACTGCGGTTCTCACAAGGATCGCTCTTTTGCCTAAAATGCTCATCGTGGTATTCAGCATCTACTCTTCTATACTATCATTAGACTATTTCTTGAGAATTTAGTTTTACAAATGATCATTTTATAAGCTCCTTGAGATAAATGATCAGTAAATACAGGCTGAGTTGCCTATATCTTTATGTACTATATAATTCATGTTTTTCTGAAAATAGAGGATTTATAGTAAAAGATACAATTTCTTAAATAAGACATTAACTCAGAGGTTCTTGGTTCATCCAACATTCTATATGAGGCTTTCCCCTCAAATAAAGAGCAAAACCACACTTTGCCATAGTAAGTTATACTGAGCTACTTCACTTAATAAGTCATTCTTATCATGTTCACTTAAATTCAAATGGAAGCACTAGCTTCAGGATTTCTCCCTTGACATTTGAATGTTAACAAACATACGTGTTTATCATGAATACAAGCAATATTTTCATATGGCAATGTAGTCATAAACAGGCTTTACAATTTTAGCATGCGAAAAGATCTTACCATCTAGAAAAAACGGCATGGTTTTCTTTACTCTCATCTGACAATTAACTTGCCGACCAGTTTTCCTTTTAGAACTCCTCTGTCGAGCCACAAGCTGAGCAATTCTTGCAGTTTCTGTGCAGGCCACGGCATAGCAGGTTATCTAATTATGAAAGGTAAGGGAGAGGAGAAACATTTCTCAGATTCACTGGTAACCAGAGGCTGACTTTTCAAAGTGTATCTTTGTGAGTTTACATGTCCCAAATCAAGCTGTATGCAAATATTCATGTCTCTCTCTTCCATAATGTTAGAGCTAAATTATATTTTCTGCAAGAGAAACCAAGCATAGTCCAGCACACTAAATAATCATTTTTCCTTAAACTGAAAAGTTCACTTATTTCTTAAACATGTTTCCATTAAGCATCTAAAATGTGCTAGGTATATAGGCTTAACAAATGAACCAAAAGAAGCTTGTGATTTGTATATATTATCCCATATACTCTGTGAGATTTATTTTATTCCCATTTTATACATGGGAAAACAGAGGATCAGGAAAGTTAAGCAAACTCCTCAAGCCATGCAGCAAGGCTATCTCTCTGAATTCAAAGTACATACTTGTAACTGCTATTTGTACTACCTCCAAGAGACCACTAAATTCTAGTCTTGCCAGTGAAATGGATTACCTGAGTGACCTGGGACAAATCAGTTTACTTCAAAATCCCCAGTACTATCTATCAGCTACAAAACAGGGAATAGCTTAGATCTTCAAACTGTCCAGTGGAGTCACAGGATTCCATGGAGGTGCCTCATGGGTGTGAGGGCAAGACAGGGCAAGCAAAGGCCCTGGAGCCTCTGGCATCTACTTAAAATACAGTAGCTCAGCTTTTTATATTAAAAAAAAAAAGATAGGATATACAGGATATTTGAAAAAGAATTTGAAAACAGAATGTAGACTGCTGAGGTTAGATGATCTCTAGAGCCCCATCTAGTGGTAATGCCTTTAATTTTAAGTTGAAATCAAGACAGGAAAGCAACCAGGCTTTACACCACAGCCAAAACATGCTTATAATCTTTGGTCCAGTATTTCTATTCCTGAAAATATAAGAATACAATTCAAAAGAAGAAAAATTACCTACATGAATATGTGCATTAGGGGTTGTTTTAATAGTCAAAACCTAGAAACATTAAAAATGTCCCAAAAAGAAGAATAAAGAGTTGAGTAATTTATAGCACAGTAACTATATGAAGCACTACTAAATTATTAATTCATTCAGACATTTGACCATTTATACATTCAACACATAATTATTAAGCACCAAAAGTCAGGGGCAAAAAAACAAAACAAAACAAAAAACCAATCCCTTATCCATAAGAAACTCATGAAGGAAAGAGAGGCAAAGAGACTAAACAGAAAACATTATGTCAAGTGTTATACTGAATGTATTATGAGAGGCCAAGCAGACAGAAAGGAGGGCTTAAGTCTTTCTGGGAGAACCAGGGACATTGAAGAAAGTTTTACTATTAATAGAATATTTGATTAATTCATACCTTTTCCTTATATAAAATGTATCACAGATGAGGCAAACCTTTGCTGTGCGCTGTGCTGTTTGGTCGCTTTAGTCATGTCCAACTCTTTGTGACCCCATGGACTATAGCCTCTCAAGCTCCTCTGTCCATGGGATTCTCCAGGCAACAATAGTAGAGTGGGTTTCCATGCCTTCCTCCAGGGGATCTTCCCAACCCAGGGATCAAATCCAGGTCTCCTGCATTGCAGGTGGATTCTTCACCATCTGAGCCACCAAGGAAGGCCACGCTCCTACCCCTGGGCCCCTTTCTCCTCTCCCAATGCCTCTCTGACCCACCCCCTCACCAGAGGAACAACTATTCTAATTTTTTGTGAGAAATACCCCAGACCCATCCTACATATTTACATATGAAACATATCCCCAAAATATACTGATTTGGGGGGGGGGGTGGGCACCTTTCTGTCTTGGGTGGTAGTCTGTCCAATCTTTCATACTGTATATTGGGCAGACAACAAGAATCAAAACTACTGAGTCATAGGGGATATGTAATAAAAAATTTTACTTGCTACCACTCAATTGCCCACATTATATATAAAACATGATTCCAGAGGAACTAGAAGATTTAAGATTGTAGGATAATCACTATTACTAAAGTAAAGATGATGACAGGCTAGGGACGGAAGGGACTAAAGACAGGGAGAACAGGAGGGAAGGACCTGTAATAACCAGAAGTGCTGAATGATCAAGCAGAGGCTTGACTAGGATCAAGACAATAGGAACAGATAGGGGTCAGGTCAGATGATCAGAATTTTAAAGTATTTATTGGATTCGGTAATCAGGAGGTCACTAGTGACCTAGGCCAAACAGTTGTGGCAGGCCTATAATGAGTGGTATGATATTTAGGCAGTTAAGATCTCTAATACAGTTATTTTGTATGGACACTGAGGCTGAGTAAACTTCAAATTTTTTAACTGAATATGGTTAAAATCCAATTTTTATAACAAAGAATTTGAGGGTAAAACAAAAGACATGAGAATCTAGGCAGTGCTTTGGATGCAATTCTCTATCACTACTAACCTTGGCTTCTCTGATAGCTCAGTTGGTAAAGAATTCGCCTGCAATGCAGGAGACCCCAGTTCAGTTCCTGAGTCGGGAAGATCTGCTGGAGAAGGAACAGGCTACCCACTCCAGTATTCTGGCCTGGAGAATTCTATGGACTGTATAGTCCACAGGGGTCGCAAAGAGTTGGACATGAGTCTTTCACTTCACTTCCCTTCACTTCTTCACTAATCTTGGCTAGTGCTTTTCACTTTGACTTCTATCCTAATTACGAGACTAGAAGTACTGGACAGGCAATTAAGAACTGGCTTGCCTCTTCTGAAACACAGTTACCTTCTTACCTCTCCAGACCTACTAGTCTCTATCCTGATAACTGCTGGCACACTTCTCAGATAGGCTTCTAGTGTAGGATAGCCCAATTGCTTGAAAGGAATCCAGTCTCCAGTTAGGGATCTGTACTCTCCTTGGAGCCGGGATAATGCTATTCCATTCTTTTGAGATTGCAGAACAGCCCGAAGCATTTTTGAAACCAGATCTGCTTCCAGCATCTTCACCTATGAGAACATGGTAAAAGGTTACTATAACGATGCATTAGGCTGTGAATTCAAACACATTTTCAGAGTTTTCACTTGTTTGTGTATTTCATAAACTGCTACCGAATGCTTTATGTGCTGTTACAATACAGGGAAATAACTCTTATGGCAGAGAAAAGCATGGAATACTATGAGAAAACAAGGGAAGTCAGAAAGGCATAAAGACTAGCCTGGGAAAAGGAACGTATCAGGGAATGTTTCCCAGATGACAGGAGGTCTGATGGAGTTCTAAAGGACAAGGAACAATCAGTCAGGCAAGGAAGAAAAGGATGTGTGGAAGCTGGGGTCAGGGATGGGGAAAGGTATCAGCCACAAGAAGAGGGAAGAGAAAATTCAAAAGGCACAGAGGTGAGAGAGAAGTACATGGTTGGTTCTGGGAACTCTAGGCAGTTGAGTGGTGGGACATGAGTGAATAAAGACTCTAAGCTAAGGATTGAAAGATGGAAATGGGAGAAGTGAGAAGAGGCAGACCCAAAAGAGACTACTTACTATATTATGTTAGTATGTTTGCATTTTTGCCAAAATTAATATGAGATCCTTGGAGGGATTTTAAATAGCAGAATAAAATGATCAACTCTGCATTTTAAGATCACTCATTAGTATCAGGGGAAATAAACTAGAAAGAGAAAGATAAATGAGTTGTATGAATTGAAGATATGGAAGATCAGAAAATAGGGCCTTGGAATTCTGATACAAAAAATCAGTATCAGAGCTAATCAGGAAGTGGGATCAACAGGAATTGATTAACTATTTGAATTACAAGGGAAGCCTCCAAATTTCTAGCTTAGAAGCATGGTGGATAGTAATGGGAAGAGACAAGTTTGCAGGAGAGGGAGGGAGTGAAATCATTTTGGACATATGGCAGCTGGGATGCCTTTAGGGCAGCCATGTAGTTATATTCACTAGGAACTCAGGTTAGAAGTCTGAGCTGCTTATAAATTTGTTGGTCTTCTGCATATATGTGGTATTTGGTATTCAAGGAGTCAAAAAAATAAGGCTAAGGATGGACTCCTGAGGAAGGCTGTCATTTAAGAGACGGGCAGAGAAGGGAGTGTCCATAAAAGGCCTTGAGAGGCGGCGGTCCCAAGATGGCAAAGGAACAGGATGGGGAGACCCCACCTTCTCCCCCACAAATTCATCAAAAGATCACTTAAACACTGAGCAACTTCCACAGAACAACTTCTGAACGCTGGTGGAGGACACCAGGCATCCAGAAAGGCAACCTGTTCTCTATGAAAGGAGGTAGGACAAAATGTAAAAGATAAAAAGAGAGACAAAAGAGTTAGGGACTGAGACCCATCATGTGGAGGGAGTCGTGAAGGAGGAGAAGTTTCCGAACAGCAGGAAACCAGTGGGTCTATGGGGAGTTTTGGAATCTCAGAGGGAAACATAACTGGGAGGGGATAAAAAAAAAAACAACCCACAGAATACACGCCTAACCACAACTCCAGTGGAGAAGTAGCCCAGATGCTCATGTCTGTGCTGGATAGGGCAGCACAGGCTGCATGCTTAGGGTAAGGACAGGGCCTGAGTGCCCTGAGGACAATCTGAGGGAGCTAACGTGAGATAGCAACCCGAACTGTGGAACAGCCAGAGAGAGAGAGAAAAAAGAGAGAGAACTTTCCCACAAAAGGCTCTAACCTAAATTGAGCCAACAGCAAAGGAGAGCTAGCCGGCTGGGTACAGGGCCCCCCCACCGCCCCCCCCGCCCGAGGCAGAGAGGCAGGTGTGTGACAGCCAGAGCCGGAAGGCAAGGGGCAATCTCAGCCCCAGGGACCGGCATCCTCCACCAAACTGAGCAGGCTCCCAGCTGCTAACCACATCTTCCTGGGATCCTAGACGGTTGGCATCTGCCAGGAGGGTCGCAGCCCGAGATCAGCTCCCCAGAGGAGACACACAGCACACCTGAGACAATGCTCTCGGGGCTCGCCCGGGGAAACCGAGCGGCCGGGACCAGGGTGGTGATCAAGACACACGGCCCACCCAGGACAGTACGCTCGCCAAGCACCTGGCCGCCTGAGCTGCTCAGACCTGGGAAGGGCACAAAACGCACGCCCAGCTGAGTCTGCCCTTGCGGAGTAGCCGAGAACCTGAACCTGAGCAGCTTACACCTGGGAAGTGCACGAAATGCAGGGCCCACTTGGGACAGCACCCCTGCAGGGCAACCTGGAGCCTGAGCAGGGTAGACCCAGAAAGCACACGCGGCCCTGGGCTGGGGCAAACCCAGTGTGGTCCAGACGCTGCGAGCACTCCCCACACGCGCCACTGACATTTGTTTGCAGGGTCCCTCCCTCCCCACAGCACAACTGAACAAGTGGACCACCTTCACCCCCTTATGTCAGGGCGGAAATTATAGACACTGAAGAGACCTGCAAGCAGAGGAAGGCAAAATAAACAAAGAAGAGGGGAAAGCCCTGGGAGTGACAAGTGAACAGATTAAAACCCTGTAGTTAACATTGACTAAGCATTGCAAGAGGCCTATAGACCTTGAGAAGTCCAAGCTGAAACAAGGAACTATCTGGAACTGAACTGACCCCACACTGCCCACAACAGCTCCAGAGAAATTCCTAGATATATTTTTACTAGTATCATTTAAAAATTTTTTAAGTTCTTTATTACTCCTTTTATTTTCATTTTTATAACCTACTATTACCTTGCAAAAAAAAGACCCTATTTTTAAAGCAAATTTCATATGTATTTTTTATAATTTTTGTGACTGATTTTGTTTTGTATTTCTAATATTGTATTTTTGAGAGTCTAACCTCTACTCTAGATTTCTAAACTTTGCTTTTTGGTATTTGTTATCAATTTTGTACCTCTAAGAATCTAATTTTCAGTATCTATTTTCACTTAAGGGTGTGATTACTGGCTTGATCGCTCTCTCCCCTTCTGACTCTCCGCTTTCTCCCCCAGGTCACTTCTATCTCCTCCCTCCCACTTCTCTTCTCTGCTTAGCTCTGTGAACCTCTCTGGGTGTTCTGGGCTGTGGAGAACACTTAGGGAACTGATCGCTGGCTAGAGTGCTCTCTCCCCTTCCGACTCCCCCTCTTCTCCTCCTGGTTACTCTATCTTCCTCCTCCCTCTTCTCTTCTCCATGTAACTCTGTGAACCTCTCTGGGTGTCCCTCGCCGTGGAGAATTTTTTCACCATTAACCTAGATGTTTTATCATCTGTGCTGTATGGATGGAGAAGTCTTGAGGCTCCTGCAAGAATAAGATCGAAAGCCAGAGGCAGGAGGCTTAAATCCAAAACTTGAGAACACCAGAGAACTCCTCATTCCAGAGAACATTAATAGACAAGAGCTCATCCAAAAGCCTCCATACCCACACTGAAACCAAGCTCCACCCAAGAGTCAACAAGTTCCAGAGCAAGACAGACCACACTGATTCTCCAGCAAAGCAGGAACACATGCCTGGGCATTAAAACACAGGCTGCCCAAAGCCATGCCAAACCCACAGACACCCCAAAACTCACTACTAAACACTTCATTGCACTTCAGAGACAAGAGATCCAGCTCCACCCACCAGAACACAGACGCAAGCTCCCCTAACCAGGAAACCTTGACAAGCCACTAGTCCAACCCCACCCATGGAAGCAAGTTCCATAATAAAGAGGAACCACAAACTTCTAGCCTACAGAAAGGCCACCCCAAACACAGCAATCTAAACAAAATGAAAAAGCAGAGAAATGCTCACCAGGTAAGGGAACATGATAAATGCCCACCAAACTAAACAAAAGAGGAAGAGATAGGGAGTCTACCTGACAAAGAATTCAGAATAATGATAGTAAAGATGATCCAAAATCTTGAAAAGAAAATGGAGTTACAGATAAATAAGACTAGAGACAAGGATTGAGAAGATGCAAGAAATGTTTAACAAGGACCTAGGAGAAATAAAAAAGTCAATCAATAATGAATAATGCAATAAATGAGATCAAAAGTACTCTGGAGGGAACCAACAGGTGAATAACTGAGACAGAAGATAGGATAAGTGAGGTGGAAGATAGAATGGTGGAAATGAATGAAGCAGAGAGGAAAAAAGAATTAAAAGAAATGAAGACAACTTCAGAGACCTCTGGGACAATGCTAAATGCCCTAACATTCGAATCATAGGAGTCCCAGGAGAAGACGACAAAAAGAAAGGGCATGAGAAAATACTTGAGGAGATAACAGTTGAAAACTTCCCTAAAATGGAGAAGGAAATAGCAACCCAAGTCCAAGAAACCCAGAAAATCCCAAATAGGATAAATTCAAGGCAAAATACCCCAATACACATATTAATCAAATTAACGAAGATCAAACACAAAAAGCACATATGAAAAGCAGCAAGGGAAAAGCAACAAATAACACACAAGGGGATCTCCACAAGGATAACAGCTGATCTTTCAATAGAATCTCTTCAGGCCAGAAGGGAAGGGCAGGACACACTTAAAGTGATGAAAGAGAAAAACCTGCAACCCAGATTACTATATCCAGCAAGGATCTCATTCAAATATGAAGGAGAAATCAAAAGCTTTACAGACAAGCAAAAGCTGACAGAATTCAGCACCACCAAACCAGCTCTCCAACAAATGCTAAAGGATCTTCTCTAGACAGGAAACACAGAAAAGGTTTATAAACTTCAACCCCAAACAACAAAGTAAATGGCAACAGGATCATACTTATCAATAACTACCTTAATGCCGGGCGGCCATGGCCATCCCCGGCATCCCCTATGAGCGACGGCTTCTCATCATGGCGCACCCTAGAGATAAGGCGCTTCAGGGCTGCCGCAAGAAACTGCCGGAGCACAAAGAGATTGACGGCCGGCCCAAGGAGTTAAGGGAACAATTAAAAGAACTTACCAAGCAGTCTGAAAAGTCTGAAAATGATCTGAAGGCTCTACAAAGTGTTGGGCAGATTGTGGGTGGAGTACTTAAGCAGTTAACTGAAGAAAAATTCATTGTTAAAGCTACAAATGGAC